AGGCACTTGAGTGAGGTCTCCTTCCTGATCTCGGACCCTAGTTTGGGAACCACGGTCCCTGAGGGGACACCGCTTGGCTCTGACCTGAGTCAACACAGCTGGGACAGAGTGAGTGTCTAAGGAGCTCTTCAGCTCAGCCCAGGGGGCAGGAGACCACCAGGGAAGTTGTCTGGGGAAATCCCAGGGTGGCGGGGGCTCGGAGAGTTGGGGCCCTGGGTCATCAGTGAAATTTGGTTGAACTGAAAGACACTTTTGAGGGCTGGCGAAGGCTGCAGGGAAATAGAGCTGGACCTGAAGGTGGCTGACAGGGTGAGTCATGGTCGGGAGACCAGCCACGATCCGACCAGCCACCACCTGACCTAATCAGGTACCACCGCAAGCTGTCTGTGGTCAGGCGCAAGGACCCAGACGCTCACAGTGTCGCTGGCTGCAGCTGGGATCCTGAGTGTCTGTTTCTTCCCTACCTACCACCCTTTCTCCAAAAATGAGCCTTCCTGAGACTGAACTACGGATAAACTGGTCCATCCGTGCCAACGGAAGAGTGCTCAGCGATGCAAAGGCACGGACTATCCACACAGGAACTCCTTGTGCTGAAACGTAACAACCTGAGTGGACTTCAAGGGCATACTCTGAGAGAAGAAAAAGAGAGAAGCCACAAAGCCACATAATGGGCGATTGCACTTATGGAACATTCTAGAAATGGCAAAAGTCTGGAGAAGAACAGATAAGAGCTTGCTGCGGGTGACAGAAGGCAGGCAAGGGTAGCAGGACAAAGGGCTGCACTGAAGAGTCCCTTTTGGTGGTAGAGTTTTGTGCCCTTCCCCCCCCCCTTCCCTTCCTGCCTGCCTTCCTTCCTTGAGAGAGAGAGAGCGAGCGCGCATTGAGGGGTGGAGGGGCAGAGGCAGAGGGAGGGAGAGAATCCTAAGCAGACACCACACTCTGCCCAGAGGTAGATGTGAGGCTCGATCCCAGGACCCTGAGATCATGACCTGAGCCGAAGGCAGACGCTTAACCCACTGAGCTACCCAGGTGCCCCGATTTTTGTGTTTTAAATGTGATTCTGGTTACAAGAACCTAGGCATGTGATTAAATGCCATTGAATTACAGACAAAGACTTTTTGAAAGAAAGAGCACAATCTATCTTGAACATGGGTTTGAACTGCGCTGGTCCACTTCTAAGTGAACTTTTTTGATTAACACAGTACAGTACTGTAAATGTATTTTTTTTCCTTATGATTCATTGTTTTGAAAATTTTGTTTATTATTTTTTTAAGTAAGCTCTACATCCAACATGTGGCTTTTTTTTTTAAGATTTTATTTATTTATTTGAGAGAGAGAAGGAACACGAGTGGGGCTGAGAGGAGAGGCAGAGGGAGAAGCAAATTCTCCTCGAAGCAGGGAGCCCCATGTGGGACTCGATCCTGGGACCCTGGGATCATGACCTGATCCCAGCTTCACTGACTGAGCCACCCAGGCGCCCCACCCAACATGTGGCTTGCATTCATGACCCGGAGATCCAGGGTTGCACGCTCTCTGGACTGACCCTACCAGGTACTCCTCTTCCTTCTGACTTTCTTGATAACGCTTTCCTCTAGCTCCCTTTATTGAAAAAACAGTATATGTTACATATGATTCACACAAAATGCATGTTCATAGACTGTTTCCATGATCGATCAATGCAGGCTATCGGTAAAGTTTTTGGGGAGTCAGGAATTATATGTAAATTTTTGACAGTATGGAGGGTCAGCGCCTCTAACCCTCAGGTTGTTCAAAGGTCTACTGTATATGCAAAATGGGTAGAATCCAAGTAAGTTCTCTAGGCAGTTCCTTGCATCATGCCCTCATCACTTTCCTGGCTTGGTAACATACTAGCCTTATACAAGAGGCCAGCACTGGGGGAACCTGGGTGATGGGTACATGGGACCTCCCCATGCTATCTTTGCAACTTCTTGCAAGTCTGTAATTAACTCAGAAAGGCTTAGCGGCTCCTAGGTGGCTCAGTCACTTAAGCGTGTGATTCTTGATTTCGACTCAGGTCATGATCTCAAGGTTGAGAGATCGAGTCCCATGTGGGTGGGGAGGGGGAGAGGAGAGGGTCCACATTCAGCGAGGAGTCGGCCTGAGAGTCTCTCTCTCCCATTCCCCTGCTCGTAGGCACTCTATTGCTAAAATAAATAAATCTGTAAAAAAAAAATTTTAAAAATTATATATAAAAATATGTTATCTATTAATTGGTGGTTGGCTAACTTTCAGACTGTGGGATAGGCACTGAGGACTGAGCAAACACAGAACATAAAAGTTCTTCATGTCACTTACGTTCTAGCAGGGGAAAAAAAACAAGAACACATATTGGCAGGTGCCTGGGTGGCTCAGTGGGTTAAGCGACTGCCTTTGGCTCAGGTCATGATCCTGGGGTCCCGTGACTGAGTCCCGCATCAGGCTCCCTGCTTGGCAGGGAGTCGACTTCTCCCTCTGACCCTTCTTCTTTTCATGCTCGCTCGCTCTCGCTCTCTGTCTCACACAAATAAATACATAAAATCTTAAAAAAAAAAAAGAATGCAAATTGGCAAGGGTGACAGACATGCTCTCAGATGACCCTGGATGGGCCCCTCCCTTGCATCACCCCCCACCAGTGTGAGACACGTGACTTGATCCTACCCCAATGGAATATGGCCAAAGGTACAAGACAGCGCGCCACATGGTCATGCCATGTGGCAGAGGGAGGGGACAGCCGCCCGCGGCTCCTGTGGCTGCATTTCCATCCAGATTGATATCACCTTGGCAGCACACACTGGAGAGACCTTTCCGCGGGCCTTGGATGCCATGACGTGAGCTGCCCAGGGCCAGGGCCACGTGGCAGGGGACCGGGGGCAGCTGTGAGCAGGAGGAGGTCTCAGGGCTGCCCGGGCAAGGCCCTGGAGTCTGCAGACGCCCTCAGGAGCTTGGAGGGGAGCCCTGCGCCTCAGGTGGGACTGTAGCCCGTGAGCCCCTGAGCAGAGGACCAGAAGGGCCGAGCCCCAGTCCTGAGCCTCAGACACTGTGCTAACAGGTACAGGATGGGTTCCGTCACTCCCTCCCTTTGCAGCGACTCATCAGGGGGCAGCAGAAAGCAAATGCGGCAAATAAAGATCCCATGGGAGAGTGGGGTGAATGCTACAGAGAAAAACCAAGCCGGGGAGGGGGTAGGGAGTGTGCCCATTTTATGAAAAGTGGCCCGGGATGGCCTTCCTGTCTGAGGTTTAAGTGTCTCACTCACTGGTTTATCTCCCCAAGGCCGTCTGTGGGCTGCCCGGGGGCAAACATCTTGCCGTCCCTGTGTCTGGAGGCCCAGGGCCCAGGGGAAGGCTGGGCTCGCAGCTGACCCAGGAAGCCCACAGGGAGTCTGGTCTTCCAAGACCCTGTGCTCCTTGGGGGTACAGAGCTCCCACCTCCTTCTCTGTGGCCCCCACAGTATTCAGCCCACACGGTTAGCATTCAACAACGCTCAGAACTCGTTGGGAGTCTCCACTCTTCTCCCCAGCCCGCCCCTCTCATCTCAATGCCATCCTGGGTTGCCTCTCCCCTGTCACCTTTTCCAGCCGGGTCTCCAGTTCTGACACCTCGGCTTCCACCAGCTCGATGGAGGCTCTGGGAAGAGAGGCACGGGGTCACGGGAACAGAGTCTGGGTGCATTGGGTCTGGGCCCCCCAGGAAGGCTGGCGTTGGGGTTAGTGCGTAATGGGACAGACAGAAAAACTGATGGGTGAAGGGGACCTGACCACCCGCCCTCTTGGGCTCCCTCCCTCTGCGTAGTGTGGGAGCTCGTGGGGCCCAGGCCAAGCAGGAAGGGTAATGGGAGGGTGGATGTGGCCCAGGCAGGAAGTTGCTAACCGCCCCAGCAGGTGCTGGGGGAGGGGCAGGGGTCCCCAGGACGGGAGGAGAGAGTGTCAGCTCTGGGGGGAAGACGGGCTGGAGCGGCCCCCTCTGCCCGGAAAGGGGGTGCAGAGCATCAGAGCCCGGGGTCGCCTAGTGGAGGTGCTACTCTGGCCCTCGAGTTTGATCTTGTCCCTTTGTGAACTTGTCCCCTGGAAGGACATCTGGCCTGGGGAAGGCTGTGTGCTGTGTGCACGGTGGCTGTGTGTGTGTGTGTTAGGGGGGTCGGACCTCACCCCCGTGTCCCCCCAGACCTGTGGACACTTACCGGAAACGGGGCGAGTCCTTGAGACACTCCTCGAAATCCAGCTTGATGGTCATCTCAGCTTGTCTTGTCTTGGGCCTGACGGGCAGGGGTACACAGTGGAGACGCTCCCTGCCCCCGGAGGGGTTGATGAGGAAGGAGGAGGGGGTCCTCTCCTGGGGAAGAGCCTGTGGGGGGGGAGCTCAATTCCTTCTCCAAGGGTAAGGGGTGTCCAAGGAGGACCTCTCACTTCACACTTGCTGGCTGTGCCCGGGAGGGGCAGAGGCGGGGCCAGGCGGAGAAGCCACAGCCCCGCCCACTGAGACTCGGCTGTCCCCTTCCTCCTGGGAGCCCTGGGCCCCCTGCCTTTCTCCTTGGGGGACACGGGGGTTGGGGGGGCTGGCAGATATAGGCTCAAGTCCTGATTCTGTCTCTTGGAGGGACCCTGGGCAAGCTCGTTGATTCCTCAGGTTAGCTCATCTGGAAGGTGGGGATGATGGCCCCCCCCAGCCCCCAGGCTTGTTGGAAGAACTAAAGATGCTAACGATGGTACAAATAAGGTTGGTTGAGCCACACCAAGCGCCGTCCCCCTGCTGCAGCCCTGCTTCTGGGCCTCGAAGGCCCTTGCTGAGTCCAGTCGGGCAGGCTGCTCCCAGCTTTCTTCTCTGCTCTGCTCACTGTGGTTTCCTGTGTGCGGAGGTCCCTCCCTCCTCCCCTGTCCTCGGTGACTGAGCAAGCCCATCCTCCGTGAACGAGTCACAGCACCCAGGCTCCTGCACTTCTCTTTATTGTCCACCTGGAAGGGGTAAGACCTGGGAGACGCTGGCCCCCATCCCATCCCAGGCTGGCTACAGTTTTCATTGTCTGCTTTCCTCCTCCTGTGTCCATCGAATCCGCAGGGTTTCGTCTGGACGAGGAAAGGAATGGGTCACTGGCTATCTTGTAACAGGTGGGAGATCTGGCCCCTGCCCCCCTGAAACTCCGTAGAAGCTACCCACTCAGGCCCTCTCCCTCCCTGGCCAGCACAGGCAGCCCCTCGCCCCTGCCCGGGCTCACATCTGCACTGGTTTTGGTGTGGAGAGTGTGGGCTGCTTCCAAGTTCCTTCTCCAAGCTTTCTGGGCTTCGCCAGTTGAGCCCCTTGGATATCACCCACTGACACCAGCCTGACTCTGCTCTGTCTTTGGAGGACAGGGCAGCCCCTGCAATGTGGGGAGTGGCAGAGAGGAGTCAGGGAGGAGGCGTGGGGCCAGCGGGTAGTCCCAAGCTAGAGGGGGTCCCTGTCCCTTCGGAGCCTCCCCGGTTCCTCTCTGTAACACTTGGGCCTTGCACACCAGGATGCTTGAGGCCGCTCTTGGCATCTGTTGCGATCTACCCCGGTATGCAAAGAAGGGCGGCTGGGGGTATGGGAGCTGGCCAAGAGCCAGGCCTTGTAGCTCAGTGCCCTCACCAGGCTGTGATGTCCCTGCCAGGGACTCTTCAGAGGCCTGGGGATCCTGAACGGGGCTTCCTGTATGCTCCAGTAGACGGACCTCAGTGCCTGTGGGACTCTCAATCACCCAGTTAAAATGTGCGGAGCCTGGCAGGATCAGGGGGTCAAGGTTGGGGCACCCCTCAAGTCTGTTGGTTGTCGGCACCCCCTGCCCCGGGCTGACCCCGCCCAGCTCTCACTGTCCCGCTGCTCGGGCTCGTCTTCTGTGTCCTCCTCAAGCTCTGGGTGGGGAGAGCATCTGAGATACCTTCCCTTGCTATAATACTCCTTGCGCTGCTGATCAATGTCCTGGTCCCACACGACGGTGGCTGAAGGCAGGGACAGGTTTCTGAAGGTAGGGGGATCTGAGGAGTCATCCCAATCACGCTGAGTCTTCCGGTTGCCTGGGGCATCCAGGGATCCACAGGTGTCCATAAGAGCCCCCCCTGCACAGGGGAGAAGCTCAGGCCCTGGGTTCTCATCTCCATTCTATGCCCTCCTCCCACGTTAGGAAACCCCAGTGAGCTCTCCATCCCCCACGCCTTTCTCGGGCTCCCTGAGGGTCGTGCTGAGGACCCCACCCCAGCTGCTTTCTTTCTTTTTTTTTTTATTTAAAGATTTTATTTATTTATTGGACAGACAGAGATCACAAGTAGACAGAGAGGCAGGCAGAGAGAGAGGAAGGAAAGCAGGCTCCCTGCCGAGCAGAGAGCCCGATGTGGGGCTCAATCCCAGAACCCTGGGACCATGACCTGAGCCAAAGGCAGAGGTTTTAACCCACTGAGCCACCCAGACGCCCCCAGCTGCTTTCTGTCTTCCCTGGGCTTGCCTCCCATCACCTCCCTCTCAAGGCCCATGCTAACCCTTGACTTCTGGGACATGGTTCCTGGTCACCAGACCAATCTCATCTTGGACTTCTCCGGTCAGTCCTCCCATCCGGCCTCTCTCCACAGGCCTGGGCTCCATGACCCGACCGCCGCTGCCCAGACTGGAGCAAGCCCCATGGCAGGGCTTTTTCTTACTGAAGGGAAGGCTTTTCTGAGCCATGAGGAACTTTCCCTCATCGTAGTGTGACTTTCGGTGCTTGTCAAAATCACTGGAGTCTGTGGGCCATGGTAAGAGCTGGGCTTTCCTGCCAGGCTCCCGCCGAGGGTTCACTCTGCCTCCCCTTTCCACTCAGCCCCCCCTTCCCACTCAGCCCCGACCCCTCATCTCACGTGTCTTGGAAAAGATGTCTGAAGACTCTGAACTTCTGTTATTATGGTACCGCAGGACCTTGGGGTAGAAATTGTCCATTGTTGCAAACCTGAAGGGGAGGGAGACTAGTTGGCACTCAAGGGGAGAGGACAAGGGGTGCAGGTGGTAGATGGGGCCTCGCTGGCTGGTTCTCTCCCACCTTGGCCTTGGTCAGTCCTGATAGGAACTGAAGTACCTCCCATTCTGGTGGCCAAAAAGCAGAGGGGGCTCTGACCCCAGGGGTGGAGGAAGGAAGAGGCCCCACATCCCTACTGATCTCGGGTGGGCTTCTCACCTTTCGGCCAGCGCCTGGGGAGTCACTGTGTGAGAGACCGCCCCAGGCATGTCCTCATCGCTGTCCTGCAGCCTGCGACAGAGGGAGGGAACAGGGCTGAGAGGCGGGGCACCAGGCAGTATCCAGTCCCTGAGACCTCTCTGCCTCCCCAAACCCCCTTTGAATAGCAAAGGGTCTGGGCTGAAGGCTAGGGCTGAGTGCTCCACACCTGTGGTAGGGGGTGCTGGGCTCATCCACCTTCATAAACCCGTAATCCTTGTCAGCGGGGTGGTAGGTGGCCAAGATGTTCATTTCATCCCACCGCTGGGCCTTTTTCCTGGAGTAGGGGAAGGACACAAAAAACGGGGAGGAGACCTCCCGGCGACCTCCTCCTTACAACCCTCCCTCATTCCTTCAGTCATTCAAAACCTTTTCCTTGTACCCTCTCGTCGTGTCCGAGGCAGAGGAGCCTGGGGATCGGGATTACACCTAATGATCTGCACGCACTGTGTAGTCAGCGTGGACCCGGCACCCGCTGCTCTCCACAAGGCCCGGGACCTCGGGTTTCCCACCCAATGGCCCTCGGCCGCCCCGGCTTCCAGGTTGTCAGGACTCCACCCCCTCCCCGAGCTCCGCCCCCGCCAGTGTCCGGCACCCCTCCCTCGGGGCTCGGCGCCGGGAGCCGGCCGCGCTGGATTCCGTACTTCTCAGCGCTGAGGGATTTCTGCATCAGGATGGTGGTGCTGGTCTTTAGGATGCTGCGGGGCCAGTCCTCACAAGGTTTGTGGAGGTTCAAGCAGGTTGACCCGGAGCGCGATGGACTGTATTCCCAGCTGTACACCCCAGAGCCCCCCGACCCGGGGCTGCAGGTCCCGCACACACTGGCTTCAGGGAAGGGGGCATGTAATCCGTCAGGGTGTGTCCCGGGCCCGGCGCTGAGGCCCGCAACCTCCCCCGGGTGCCGGTGGGGCCCCGAACCGAGGACAGCTACCCCCCCGGTGGGCCGGCTAGAACCAGGAGCGCAAGTTACGATTTCCCCGGAGTGCGGGGAGGGCCCAGAACCCTGAGACGGGACCACCCCGGACGGCGGCCCGGCGTCGGCCTCGCCCGCTCCGACTCCTTCTGGCACACCCTTGGGTGCCGCTCCCGGGGATTCCCCGCGGAGGCAGCCAGCAGCCCCCAGAGCCTCCTGCCTCTCCATGGCCCCACCCGGGGGCCGCTCTCAGCGGCCCCGCCCCGCCTCCCAGTTCCACTGGGCCCCGCCCCGCGGCCCCGCCCCCACCACGGCCGGCTGGGGATCGCTGGGCCGAGGCCCGGGCGTCCTTCCGCTCTGCTCCCTAAAGCCGCGGCCCGGGAATCAAGCTTTATAGAGGGACCTCGGGCCGGGGCCCCTCCCTTTGTGTCCCACCCAAAGGCCTTCTTTCTTTGTCTCTGGGATTTGTTCCCGCCCTTCTTCCCCATCACCGCCTTCATCCTTATTATCCAATCACAATCAGGGTCCTTGTCCCAGGCCAAGAAGCCTGGTTGTGACGTCACAGCCCTCCCACCTCCGCGCGAGCTCGGGGTCGGGTCGGGAGCTCGCTCAGAGCTGGGGTTTGGGGGCAGACTGTCAACCGTCGCCGGAGACCGCCGGCCAGGGTTTTGCTGGACTCTGTCCGCGGCCTTACGACTTAAGGGTTTGGCTGGATGGGAGTTCAAGGTGGGCTTCCTTAGAAATGCCGCGGGCCCTTGTATCCCCGCAAGCCGGCCCGCTTTGCCTCTCACGGGAGGGGAGATACCAAGTGGAGGCGCGGCGACACTGTCGCGAAACGTGCGCTCTCGGGGTGCGGGGGGCCGAGGTTTTCATGCGTAAAGCTACAGGGTCTCTTCTCCGAATCCCACGGACGCCACGCTCCCGCCCGCAGAAGGCGCAACGGAGGGGACGCCTGCTCCCCCCTCGCCGGAAAGCGACTATCTCTAGGAGTCGCCTGCCTCGGCGAGGGCGGGGCCCGCGGGGCCGCTGTCGCAAAGCTGAAGGAGTGGGGAGGGCCTGCATCTCCTGCGTCGTAAAGACGCCTGCGGCCGTCGTTTCTACCGCTGTCGCAAAAGCTCCCTGCCCCCGTTTGCACGGCTTTCGGGCCCACTCCGTCACCTTGCCGTGCCGTAAAGCAAGCCCGCCCGACCCCGTCGTCCTTCCGTTCCCACCGCGGTGGTCATTAATTCCCCAGCCGGGGATGCGCCGTCGCCCGGCAGTGCCGTAAAGCATACCTGGCCCCAGCCCCGAGTCCTGTTCCCTCCGGGTGTCTGTGCACCGCGGTTGCCACGGTGCCGCCAAGCGCGGCTGTCGCGCGGCCCCGGTGTCAGCGGCAATGGCGGCGGGGTCGGGTGGGAGTGGGGGCTCTGGGGGAGGCCCCGGGCCGGGGCCGGGTGGGGGTGGGGGCCCCGGCGGGAGCGGCGCAGGGCCGGGGTCCGGCGGGGGTCTGGGCAGCGGCGGGGAGCTGCACCCGCGCACTGGGCGCCTGGTGAGCCTGTCGGCCTGTGGGCGTACCGCGCGGCGGCAGCAGCCGGGCCAGGAGTTTAACCACGGGCTGGTGTTGAGCCGGGAGCCCTTGCGCGATGGACGCGTCTTCACCGTCCGCATCGACCGCAAGGTGCGGAGCGGGTCCAGCGGAACCGAGATAGAGGGAGGCTGGTGGGAGGGGGCGAGCGGCAGACACGGGCCGGACAGCCAGGTTGGCTCGCATCGCCGGCTGCCGAGAGGGCACCGACCTGCGAGGCACCGGGCACCGGGCGACGGGCGGGAGGGGAGCACGGAGCAGAAACGTTCGCTCTCACGGGGAAAGGGACGAAGACAGCTGGCGTTTCCTCAAGACCCAGGGGCAGGGCAGGGACGCAGGACTTCGTCCCCAGGAACGGTTAGGGACCAGATCTCCTGGGATCGCCTCGGGAGGTGGAGGATAGAGGGATGTCAGGGATGTGATGGGAAGGGAGGGGAGAAGCAGGGAAGTACCAACCACTGGCGGATACGCTCCCGCGGAAGGATGGGTGAAGAGAGACACGGGGAGAGGGAGGTGTGTGTGCTGTGTGTGAATTGGTGAAGAGGCCAGGTGCTCAGAGGTGGGATGGGGAAGAGGTGGAATGTGAGTGCAGCGGAGACTAGGAGAGACTCCGCGTGGGGAGGGGAGTGGGACCCCAGAGCAGGGCGTGTGGGCGTGGAGAGCTGGGAACCCGGTGGCAGAGGAGTCACGGAGACCACAGCTTCACGTCTCCAGAGAGAAAAACCAGTTAGTTGCCGGGGGATGTGGGAAGAGGGGGACATGGTGGTCTGGGACATGTGGGTTCCTAGTGGTGGGAGACCCATGGGGGCCCATCCTGAGCCTCTGTCCACCGCCCTTATCACAGGTCAACTCCTGGAGTGGCTCCATCGAGATCGGGGTGACGGCACTGGACCCCAGCGTACTGGACTTCCCGAGCAGCGCCACGGGGCTGAAGGGGGGCTCATGGGTGGTGTCAGGCTGCTCGGTGTTGAGGGACGGACGTTCTGTGCTGGAGGAGTATGGGCAGGACCTGGACCAGCTTGGGGAAGGGGACCGTGTGGGCGTGGAGCGCACAGCTGCCGGGGAGCTGCGGCTCTGGGTGAATGGGCGGGATTGTGGGGTGGCCGCCACGGGCCTTCCCGCTCGTGTCTGGGCCGTTGTGGACCTTTATGGCAAGTGCACCCAGATCACCGTGCTGCCCCCTGAGCCAGGTTTCAGCCCCCCTACTCCCATTCCCACACCTCCCCTCGAGCCTTCCGCGCCCCCTGAAGATTCTGCCTTGACTGAACAGGGGACCTCCGGGGATGAAGGTGAGAACACAGGACAGTGGTGGAGGGGTGGGGCAGAGGGAGTGGCTGAAGGAACCGAAGAGAGAAAGTGGCAAAGAGGCTGGGTGTGAGCAGGGTCACTCAGACTCCCCCCCGCCCCAGTCTGTTGAAGAGGAAAGCAGGGGCTAGAGAGAGGAGGGGGGTCTCCTGGCTGTGGGCCCTGCAGCAGGGGCTGAACCCTTATTCCCCTCCCATCCCGCCTGGTCCCCAGCCTTCATGGTGTCCCCAGCGCAGGCCCGGCCGGAGACGTTTCCTAACAGCCTTGAGTCGCATAATGGTGAGGGCTTCTGGGAGGCTTCGGGCAGGGGAGCGGGAAGTGAGGTGGACGAGGCGAGGGGAGGGGCCTCAGGAGAAGGCTAGGGGGAGAGTGGCGAGCCTGAGGAGGTAGCGCCTCATTCCAGCTTCTCCCCCATCCCACTGCCGCAGACTTTGCCAGCATGGAGCTCTCTGAGGTGGTGGGCAACGCCATCCTGTCTGCCTACAACGGGGGGCTCCTAAATGTGAACTTGAGCTCCCCGCCAGCAGGGGAAGGACTGGGGTCTGGCGGTGCCGCCACCTCGCCCGTTCTCACTTCCAACGATGCCCTGCTCTTTCACGAGAAGTGCGGGACGCTCATCAAACTAAGCAACAACAATAAGACCGCCGAGCGCCGCCGGCCCCTGGATGAGTTCAACAACGGGGTGGTCATGACCAACCGTCCCCTGCGGGACAACGAGATGTTCGAGGTGTGCGAGCTGCCGGGTGCTGGCTGCACCCCGCCTTCCGGGACCCAAAGACGGGCTTGATCCTTGATGGTGGCGGGGGGGGGGGGGGGGGGGGGTGCAGAGAACAGTCTGAGGGTCCCTTCTCGGCGTTTACCCGCCACATCTCCCCCTTCCTGCTGTCACTCCCCCCAAGATCCGCATCGACAAGCTCGTAGACAAGTGGTCGGGCTCCATTGAGATCGGTGTCACCACCCACAACCCCAACAACCTTGAGTACCCAGCCACCATGACCAACCTGCAGTCAGGTACCATCCCCAGCAGAGCGGAGGCCCCTTCCTCGGGCGAGGGCCGCAGGGGCTCTAGCTGGGCTGTCCCCCCCTTCCTCTAGGCACCATCATGATGAGCGGCTGCGGGATCCTGACCAACGGCAAGGGCACTCGCCGGGAGTACTGTGAGTTCAGTCTGGACGAGCTGCAGGTGAGGGGGGGCAGGGTGCAGCGTGGGGGCCCCTCTCCGGGGCCACCCTATCCCTCACTTCCCTGCCCAGGCCGCACGGTCTCTGCTGCGGCCTAGAGCAAGGCCTCTGCTCTCTCGTCTGAAGTTTCTTTTTGAGAAGGTAGGGTTGGCCAATGGTTAGGCTTGCAGATCTGGGGAGTCGGGGGGTCACTCTCTCTCACCGTGTGGCTGTGGGGCAGTGACCCGAGGTGAGAAGCTCGAGGGTTGTCGGTGGTAGGGCGTATTTTTTTTTTCCATTTTCTTCTAATGTCTTAGCTGAGCCCATTAGCGTTTTGTAAACTGCTTGGAGAGGTGGACGAGGTGACATTTATTTATAAGGTGGCTTCCCACCGGGAGCCGGGAACATTCTGGGGGCTCGGGACTGTGGCATCTTTGCAGCTGTTCCCCTGCGGCCTGGGCGGGAGGACAAGCCTGGAGCCTGAAGGGGGAATGCATTTGAGACCTTTGTTTTTCTCCTCTGGCTAGGAAGGTGACCACATTGGCCTCACGAGGAAGTCCAACTCTGCCCTACACTTCTTCATTAACGGCATCGACCAGGGTGAGGGGACGCCCAGAGCGGGCCACCGGCCCTGGCTTTTGGGGGCGGGGACTCCGGACCTCCTCGTTCTGCCTCTCTTTGATGCTGGTCCCTCCACTTTCCCCCCACCCAGGCGTGGCTACACCACTGACGCCCCCAGTGGTGTACGGTGTGGTGGACTTGTATGGGATGGCTGTGAAGGTGACCATCGTCCATAATAACAACCACAGCGACCGCCTGCGCCGGAACAATGCCATCCTGCGGGCACTGTCTCCGGAGGGGGCACTCCGCCGCGCCACCCCCGCCGCGCAGGCTGAGCCCGAGCGCCTGCTTTTCCACCCCAACTGCGGGCAGAAAGCAGCTATCACCCACGAGGGACGCACTGCCCTGAGGCCCCAGTATGGCCCATGGGGTGGGGAGAAGCCTGCAGAAGGGGCTCTGATGGGATTGAGGGACGGGGGGTGGAGAAGCAGGAGGCAGAGGGATTCTGACCTGAGGAGCTTAGGACGGGCGAGTGGGGAGCCTTGCGGAGAACGGGGTTTCTCTGGTTGACTGTGAGCAGTGGGTGTCAGGCAGGCACCTCTGGGCTAAGCTTGGGCGTGCTCGGAGCACAGGTCCAC